GACGTCAGACCCCCTATGTTGAACTGCAGTTCTTCTATTACCTTGGACATGTTACTTAACTTCCATATTTACTTCTAAACGTTTTTATGACTTTTTTCATATTTGTGAATTTATTTTTATAAATGGTGTGTGAAGTAGGGATTTTTTTTTGAGACGGAGTCTCCCTCTGTCGCCTAGCCTGGAGTGCAATAGCGCAATCTTGGCTCACTGCAACCTCCACCTCCTGGGTTCAAGTGATTCTCCTGCCTCAGCCTCCTGAGTAGCTGGGATTACAGGCACATGCCACCACCCCTGGCTAATTTTTGTATTTTTTTTCCCCATTGTCATTGTTAGCTTTTTTATTTTAATTTCTTTAGAAAAATAAAAAAGAAAGAAGAATGAAGGAGAGGAAGAAAGAGGAAGCGAAAGAGGGAGAGAGAACGGGAGTGTTGCTTTTTTGCCCCTTTATTTTTTTTTTAGAAAAAGAAAAAAAGAATGAAGGAGAAGAAGAAAGAGGAAGAGAAAGAGGGAGAGAGAACGGGATATTTTTTGTATTTTTAGTAGAGATGGGGTTTCACCTTTTTGACCAGGCTGGTTTTGAACTCTTGATCTCAGGTGATCTGCCTGCCTTGACCTGCCAAAGTGCTAGGATTACAGGTGTGAACCACTGTGCCTGGCTGTGAAACCATTTTTTCCTGTTTGGTTGATTGTCCCAACACCACTTACTACAGAATCCTTCCGTTCCCCACTCAGGTGCATAGTTCCTCTGGCTCCTACCATATTCCCATGTATGCACAGGTCTGTTTCTTGGTCCCCTGCTCACTTTTATTGTCTGATTGATTTCTATTTCTATGCAGCTATTCCATTTATCACATTTAGTTACTGTACCTTTACATTAAGTCTTGATACTGACTGAACACAGGACTTCCACTGTAGACCTGTGTTTTTCCTGGCAGTTTCTCCAAATTGTCTTAGACATCTTTGGTGTGTTGCGCTGTGGTTTTTAGAAAAGGTTGTCTGGGTCCTTTAGAAAATAGCTTCCCTAAGCCCCATTTCCTTTTCTTTTTTGTTTGCTTTTTTTATTTTTTTTTAAGCCCCATTTCCTTTACCATGACCTATGTCTCACAGGACTGCAAAGACTAACTGTAGAACAGTGACCACCACCTGGCCAGGAACACAAGAAACACAGAATAGATAGTGTCATCTTCCCAAAATGTCCAACCTGATGCAGTCACTATTCTGTTTTAAAATCATTGTTGGCTCCCAAGGCATGCAGAGTAAAGTTCAAACACGGCCTGCTAAGCCATCCGACCCCAGCTAACCTTTCCCATGGCACCTCCAGCCTCTCCCTCCTCCCTGCCCACCATCCCTATCAGTTTCCCCGAACACACTGCTCTGCCTTCGAACATGCTGTCCCTTAGGGCGGGGATCCCATGCACCCCTCACAGATCCTCTCAGACAATGCCTCCTTTGCGGTAAGGCACTCCCTCGGGCTTCCTTTATTGCCTTCATCGCTCTGCACTGTGATTACTTGTGTCTGTTGGGACTCTGTGTCTTATTTAGCGAACTCAGCACAGGCCTTGGCATTTCCAAAGAGGTGTCACCATTTGATGATCACACCCTGACTTTGGTGCCACACACACTCTTTCACTTATTTAACACAATGATCCTGAGATGTAGACTTCTTCCCCACTGAACAGGAAGGAGCACGGATGGTAATTTGTCCAAGATCAAAGAGCTTGTCAACAGCGGAGCAGAGACCTGCAACCTGGGCTAATTCCCAACATTGGTATCTTCTATTACACCAGAGAGCCTTCGGATGAATGACCATCCTTCCCTTTACTGAATTCCTTTTCTTAAAAAATTACTGTTTTTTTCAGTCTCCGTAGAGACTGTCAAAAATTGCCAATGCCAACTATATTGCAAGTCGTCATGGCAGGGTATTGGGAAAAGTTTTCAATTAGCAATAATCGTACCTCGGATCAACCTCATTGGCTATGATACTGCCACTGCACAAAGCTCCTTTTTCTAAATTTCTTATCTCTATCCCATTCTTCCGTGGTCCTCCCACCCGAACTCTCTCTGATGTTGCTCCTTCCCACTTCACATCCCCCAAGTGGCTTACTTTTCCCAGGCTGTCATCTCTCTCATTTCGTGCCATCTGTCACCAATCAGGTGCCTCTGTGAGGACTGTGTGTCCTAGGTTTAGCACATTGCTGGTATTCAGAACACAGAACATGGAACCTCATGGCTGCATCTTCAGATGCTGAGATGTTAGCCGGGTGTCACAAGATCAAGGACAGAAAAGACACCCTTCACAGCCGAAATCTGCTGGAAACCAGAAAGCAAGCAAGGCCATGGCTTGTAACACCAGGCTTTCTTGGAACAGTCATCAGGTCTTCATAGATGGAAGCCAGCCTGACTGGGGATGAGCAGGAATTCTACCAACTCGAAGTGGCTTAGACGGTCAGAGCTCCCACCCTGCATGTCAACAAAGGATAGAGGAAGTGCAAAGCTGGTCCCCACAATGTTGGGAGCTGCACTGGTGTCCTTTGGGCTGATTTCCTCTCTCCACACATGTCCAAAGTTTTGGAGCGTCTCTTTAGATTTCTCTCTGTAGCCAGAAGTCATGCAGGCCATTGGAAGATCAGACTGCAGAAAGGTAATGCTGAACCTTGCCATTTACCCTCTGAGAATGAAACAGAATCATCATTTAATGTGCTGATGGACCATCTTTAGAATGGTCCAAAATGCTCTGACATGGGCGAGTGGGGTGTTTCCAGAACACTCATATCCCAATTAGAGGTGGCCAGTTGATGGTTTCCTGAGTACATCACCAGTTTCAGCATGTATGAGCTCAAAGCCTCACCATATACACTAAATCTGGCAAAAGAAAGAATCCTTTGATGGAGGAAGGAAGGGTGATCATCATGGAATGAACAGAGGAAGGCCACAGAATCAGAATTTTAGGGGGAACGGGTTCCCTGACCAACTGATAGGGAATATGTCCTGTGGTGAAATGAAGTCGAGAGACTGTTACTGCTGCTCAGTAACCAACACTGTGCTTTTTTTTTTTTTGGCTTCCCACACAGCCAGCCAGTACACAAACCAGGTAACTTTGATGTTTACCATCATATAAATGAACCAATTATTGGCTGGATGCAGTGGTTCAGATCTGTAATCCCAGCATTTTGGGGGGTTGAGGCAGGTGGATCACAAGGTCAGGGATTCAAGACCAGTCTGGCCAAGATGGTGAAATCCTGTCTCTACCAAAAACAGAAAAATTAGCCAGGCATGGTGACGGGTGCCTGTAGTCCCAGCTACTCAGGAGGCTGAGGTAGAGAACTGCTTGAACCCAGGAGGTGGAGGCTACAGTGAGCCGAGATTGTGCCACTGCACTCCAGCCTGGGCAACAGAGCAAAGCTCTGTCTCTAAATGAATAAACCAACCAACTGATCATCATCTGGATACAGAGATTTGTGTGTCCTGTCCTGGAAGTGACTCCCTTCGACTGATTCCGTCAGGTTCCTTGGCTTATACTTGACCAGTGATGCTGCCAACAGAGTCCTATCCTAGAAGCCAGCTTGTCTTGGTGGATGGATGTTTCTGACTTACGGGCTGTTTATTGTTGTTTCTCTATCCCCCTCTGTATTTCCAGGTGCACTTGAGTTTGCAGAGCCTCAGGCATGGTATCACAACAGCTTCCAGACTGCTCCAATCCAGGCTCTCCTGCCAGTTCCTCCTGAGACATGGCTGATGCCACATGACTGCCCTGTTCAGGTCCACGCCAAGCATAAAACCAAACTCTCTGAACTGGCTTTTGTGGCTTTCCATAATTTGATCTCACCAAACTTTACTTTCCATTACAGCTCAAACTGTTCCTTCCTTTGGGACCACAGGACACAGCTCACTTAATTCTGCTCTCCCACTGGTGACGCCCACCCACTCTCTGCCTGCAAGCCCTACCACTACACATCTTCAAAAAATGGCTCCACCAGGGCCGGGCGCGGTGGCTCACGCCTGTAATCCGAGCACTTTGGGAAGCCGAGTCGGGTGGATCATGAGGTCAAGAGATCGAGACCACCATGGTCAACATGGTGAAACCCCGTCTCTACTAAAAATACAAAAAATTATCTGGGCATGGTGACACGTGCCTGTAGTCCCAGCTACTTGGGAGGCTGAGGGAGGAGAATTGCCTGAACCCAGGAGGCGGAGGTTGCGGTGAGCAGAGATCACGCCACTGCACTCCAGCCTGGGTAACAAAAGCGAAACTCCGCTCCCCTCCAAAAAAGGCTCTACCCTTCCTCCTGATTCCACCCCACACAGAGGAAAGCAGCTTCTTTTTTTTTTTTTTTGAGATGGAGTTTCGCTCTTGTTACCCAGGCTGGAGTGCAATGGCGCGATCTCGGTTCAAGCAACCTCCACAACCTCCGCTTCCTGGGTTCAAGCAATTCTCCTGCCTCAGCCTCCCGAGTAGCTGGGATTATAGGCGTGCGCTACCATGCCAATTTTTTGTATTTTTAGTAGAGACGGGGGTTTCACCATGTTGACCAGGATGGTCTTGATCTCCTGACCTCATGATCCACCCGCCTCGGCCTCCCAAAGTGCTGGGATGACAGGCTTGAGCCACCGCACCCGGCTGGAAAGCAACTTCTTGTGATGCTTCCTTATTCTGGATGCGGCTCACTTCTTTCCCCTTCCAGTTCCTTTGGGCCCCCTATAAAGCCTCCTTGGCCAAGGGCGACAGGCCCTCTCCTTAGCACTGGGCACTGACTGTCTAGGGCTCTCTCCGGACACCCAGTAGCAAGGATGTCAAGATAAAACAAAATGCCGATTCTAACCGCCTCTGGCTTCTCCACTGCATTTCTCACCTGAATGCCCTGCACACCAAATTTTCCATGGGGCCACCCTTGACTTCTAGGGCAATTCCCAAGAATACAGCAGAGGAGTGGGGAAACCAAGACTGACATGAAGGACTCAAGGGAAATCTCTGGAAAGAAGAGACCAAACACTAAAAGGGATGTGTGTGAAATACTGGTTTTTATTGATTGGCACAAGATTACAACCTACAATTTCAATGCCCTTCCCTCCCACACAGCTCAAATGGAAGGAAACTCATTAACATATATAAAGGAACGGCAGGCTCACAGGTTTAAGCATTCGTTTTTACAAAAAGGAGTGGGATGCGGGGGTAGTCAAGTTTTATGGGTAGTAACAACATTCTCTCTAGATTGCAGGGGGTAGGTCTGCCTGGCCCCCGATGCTGGTACCACATAAGGGGCACATTAGTAAAGTAGGGAAAGGGTTATATGTGTGGCTGGTCTGCTCTTGAGAGGAAGGTGGGATGGTATCTGCTGTGTACCTGACTCGGACCAAACCTGGGGCTGGACTGGTACCCCTTTCTTCTCAGCCCTCCTCCACAACCTGAGTCTACTGCCAGCTGCACCCATGGGAAGGAGGTGTGAAGGAAGCCTAGGAAAATCTACCTTGAGAAAAGGAGGAAAACTATTTCCTTCTGCCTTCTCTGGACCAAATTCCAGTCCCCTCAGCTCCAGAGAGCACTGCAAAAATCTTCCTTAGAAATGCTGTGAAGACACAGGGAAGAGGCCAGCCCAGACAGGTGGTCCTGAGCAGGCTGGAAGAGAAGCTTGACTTTCCATGCAGTACCAAGCAAGATTGTTTTAGAAAAAAGCAAACAACCAAAAACGGAAACCAAGACCATTTACCCACGGGTTGGGTAGCTCCTAAATCCTGGAGAGTGTTTGGATTGGGGGTAAGGGCAATTTTACTCCAGCTCTTCGTTTCATAACTCACACCAGGTGCCAAGAGGTTTTAGGACCACAACTGACCTCTCTTTCCCTATAAGCACCATTCTTTGGATTCCCAGTTTTGTTGAGCTCATTTGGGGTCATCCTTGCCATTCTCTTAAAAAATCACTCAGCCTCTTGGTTGTTCCGTTTTCTACCCCTTTCTACCATTATGAACAAACTGTCTAAACAGGAGATCCATACATCCTCTCATCCTGCAGCCCAAGGGATCAGGTGATCTAGTGATGAGAAGCTAACTTACTTGCTTTCCTGGGTGGTCCTGATGGAAAGGAATAGCAGCAGAGTTCTGGTGGGATAGAGCAGTCTAGTCTGAGCAACTGTGTGATTCCCCAGGGGACTGGTCCCTGGGTACATGGGCCCCTGGCTCTGTCTTAGTTCCAGAGACATTACTCAACTTGGCTATTTAAGCCTTAGCTAAAGCATAGGAGCATGAGCGAAAAGGGACAAGAAATACTTTTGTCCTCTGGAAAAACTGAATACATCTCGGCTACTTTGCCTCTCAACCCACAGGGTCCCCTGGAAAAAGCTGTTGAACCTGGCCAAGAGGAGACTGTATCTGGATGGTACACCTGTAACGGGAGAAAGCACAACGGCTTATCGCTTTTACAACGGAAATGGTTCCAGGGATGTTAACCTTCCTGCTGCTGACGGTAGATGAGTGAAGTGAAGGTGCTCATGTGAGAAAACTCCTTTAAAACCCTTAAGCTGTTTGGAGACTACACACCAAGGCTGAGCAAACCAAGGTGGGGCCTCACTGCCTCCTCAGAGTCCATCCCTGATCATGCCATTGGATAGGGTAGAAGACAAAGTCTTTGAAATGGAGGCTGGGTTGGCAAGAGTAAGTAGAGATGCTACTGCTGCCCTTCCATTCCTCTCTCTGATACACCTAAGAGGGTGAGAAACACTTGCTTCAGTTCCATTTACAAGAGTTCCCAACAGCCTGAAATACTCTTGACTTCCTTAATACAGCACGTGGAAAACTGGTAAGCTATTTTTCTAACTGAAATTTTACTTATTCTAACCACCAACCTTTTCTTTGATTACCAACCAGTGTGACAGTTTTCAGATCACAAAATAGAACAGACCTGACATTTACAAAACTGTACTACATTCATTTCTTTTACAGTCAAGTTGGCTGACTGCTTTTCTAACTACTAATGTGATGCCATGCCATTGGGCCCTGGACGCTGATGTTTCTGTTCCCTGAGCAACATATCGATGTCCACTCATAAATGGAAGTGAAAGAATGAGATTCTCAGAGGCTAAACGAGATTCTGGTAGTAAATTGGATTTTTTTTTTTTTTTTTTTTTTTAGATGGAGTTTCGCTGTTGTTACCCAGACTGGAGTGCAATGGCACGATCTCAGCTCACTGCAACCTCCGCCTCCTGAGTTCAAGCAATTCTCCTGCCTCAGCCTCCCGAGTAGCTGGGACTACAGGTTCGCACCACCATGCCCAGCTAATTTTTGTATTTTTAGTAGAGACGGGGTTTCACCTTGTTGACCAGGATGGTCTTGATCTCTTGACCTCGTGATCCACCTGCCTCGGCCTCCCAAAGTGCTGGGATTATAGGCATGAGCCACTGCGCCCGGCCAGTAAATTGGATTTTTGAAGGGAGAGATCCCTTGGAAAATTCAGAGCAAAAGTGCTCTGTCACACAGGGTGAGCGGGCAGGTTTCTGCCTGTGAACTCTAGCTTAGGTACCTGTTATTTCCTTCTGAAGTCCTTCATGTTCTTGGGAGGACACAAGCCTCTTGCTCATTAAGCTAAGGCCCTTCAAGTCTCCTTTTTACTTCAGCATTTTGGAAGCTCTCCAAGACTTACCTTCAGATCTGGGGAGGTTGTGTGTGGAGCAGACGCATCCCTTCTTATTCCTGTTCCTGGGTGTCTTCATAACCAGCCTCTAACATCCCTGGCATAAGTCCTATCCGTTTTGCTGCTGGACTGAGTAAATAAAACTAGATATCCTTTGGACCATTAATTAGTGACACATTTTCTCTACAACAAAGGGAGGTTAAAGACCAAGGTTTATTAACCTGGGAGGGTTTTTTTCAGCAAGACAATACAGAGGTTAAAGAGGCTATGTGGATCAGTCACTGCTTTAGCTTACCATTTTCAATTCAGCACCAAAGTGCTCAGGAAGACAGGCTCAGATCAGGATGACTTCTCAAAGGGATTCACAGGCAATCTTACCGGCAAAATGATTTCCCAAAGCTGAGCCACTAGCCCCGCCCTACAGAGAGGGTGGACGTACAGTCTTAAGGCCCAGCATTGGCACTGAGACATCTTGCTTTTTTTTCCTAAGGAATTCCACAAAGGCTTAAGACTTTGAACTAAATGCCTGGCTAGAAGCTCAAGTCCAGGAGAGCTACTTTACTGTACTGTTGAGATGTTGTCTGAAAGGTACAGTCTTATTCCAGACAAGAATAAATGTTCTCTGAATCAATGATTAACAGAATTTTCACAACTGGCCTGGCTGGGGGACCCGGGGGCAGGAAAGGGAGGGTGGAAGGATGGGCAGCACATCAGAATGGTGATGAACCTGGCCCAACAGCAATGCTGCTGCGGTTATATCCTTAAATGCCTATATCCAGGGTTTTAAATAGTGCTTTTTTTGTGTGTGCTTCCAGATAGGAAGTCAAATAAGTTTTAATATTAAGAACTGGGGATATAAACCAATGGAAACCTAGAGTTATTAAACCACCAACTGCTGGAGGAAAAGAAGCAATGACTGCTTTCCACCTTCTAGATATTGATCTTACTTTTTTGGCCAAACACCCTTTCTTCAGCATTCTGAGTTAACACGGCTTCCTTATAAACTCCCCTCCCCAGGTGGACAGTCTTATTTTCTAAGACAAGCTCAATCTCAGCAAATTATCACTGCAAACAAAGATTCAGGGAAGAGACATGACTCTCACTTCAAAAGCTTCATGTCAGAGACAGCCAAAATCATGTGACCACCAGGTTCGGCTCAAGTAGTGTGCCCAAATCATCACAAAATAGGATTCCCTTCCTATTTATTAATTTTTTTTTTTTTTGAGATGCTCTTGTTACCCAGGCTGGAGTGCAATGGCGCGATCTCAGCTTACTGCAACCTCTGCCTCCTGGGTTCAGGCAATTCTCCTGCCTCAGCCTCCTGAGTAGCTGGGATTACAGGCATGCACCACTGTGCCCAGCTAATTTTTCGCATTTTTAGTAGAGACGGGGTTTCACCATGTTGACCAGGATGGTCTCGATCTCTTGACCTTGTGATCCACCCGCCTAGGCCTCCCAAAGTGCTGGGATTACAGGCTTGAGCCACCACGCCCGGCCCTATTTATTTTTTATGGACCACTTCACGAATTAGCGGTCCATGCTAATCTTCTCTGTATCGTTCCAATTTTAGTATATGTGCTGCCGAAGCGAGCACTACTTTTTTTTTAACCTTAAAATCTCAAACATTTCATTTTTAGGTGGTATCTCAAGTGACACAGAAACACAGCTACCCTGGATGGTGAAGTTAAATCTCCGCTGCAAAACTCACCACAGAGCACGGACGCTGGGGTGCTCTCACCTGCTCCAGGTTAGGTGGGTACCCTGATGGAGGCAAGGCTGAGCCACTAACATGGACAGCTAGATATCCTGGAAGGCTTTGCAGCCTTAAGGAGACAGGCTCTATCCAACAGGCTCAGAATAAATGATTGCCACCTCACCTGCATAGTATGAACTACAGAGCCTCGAGTTTGACCTCTTCCACAGTCTTTAAAACTAAGAACCAGAGCTGTTGGTGCCCAGTGTAATGCGTTGTGGCTGAGCCGCCTGCGTGACAGATGTAGCCATGAAAGAAGTGATGGAGTACAGGCCCAAGGAGAAGTGAGTAACCCTGTTAACACCCCTTGGAGCTACAGGCAGCAGTCATGAGACTTCAGGGGACAGTTCCGAGGGGGAAGATAAACAGGATTACAACAAGGAGAAGAAAGAGGTGCTGAGCAAGGTGGTAATTTGAAGATTACCTCCCACTTTGACCAAGGAGCAGCTTCAGGAACATCTTCAACCTATGCCTGAACATGATTATTTTGAGTTTTTTCTAATGATATGAGTCTGTATCCTCATATGTATGCCAGAGCATACATCAACTTTAAAAACCAAGAGGACATTGTTTTGTTCACGGATCGCTTTGATGGTTATGTATTCCTTGACAATAAAGGTCAGGAATATCCTGCTATGGTAATATTTGCACCTTTTCAAAAATGTGCAAAAAAGAAAACTAAGAAAAGAGATACCAAAGTCGGGACTATTGATGATGATCCAGAATATAGAAAGTTTTTGGAAAGTTATGTCACGGATAATGAGAAAATGACATCTACTCCAGAGACACTGCAAGAGGAAACAGAAGCAAAAAATAGAGAATTAATACCTAAAAAAAAACCCTGCTTTGAGCTTCCTGAAAAACAAGCAGAGAATGAGAAAAGAAAAGAGAGAAGAAAGTAGGAGAGAAATAGAAAAAGGCAAAAAGAAGAAGAGAGGAGGAAATGCAAAGAAGAGGAGAAACGAAAAAGGAAAGATATAGAAAAGCTTGGCCGGGTGCGGTGGCTCACGCCTGTAATCCTAGCACTTTGGGAGGCCAAGGTGGGTGGATCACCTGAGGTCAGGAGTTCAAGACCAGCCTGGCCATCATGGTGAAACCCCATCTTATAAAAAAAGAAAGAAAAAAGAAGATATAGAAAAACTAAAGAATTCCAGAAAGGGACAAATTAAAGAATGAACCAAAGATTAAGCTGCTCAAGAAGCCAGAAAAAGGAGATGAAAAAGAAAGCCAAGAAGTTAGACAAAGAGAAGGAGCCAGTGGGCAAAGTTGTACATTGCCCAAGCGTTCTGATAGCGAATTTAAAGATGAAAAACCAGAGAGACCTGAAGATGAGAGGAGGAGAGGCTGCAGGGAGAGGGAACGGGATTATGAATGAGATCAGGAGCGCATACTTCGAGAAAGAGAGAGGCTGAAGCGGCGAGAAGAGTGCCGTAGGCAGAAGGAATGCTATGAGAAAGAGCAGACTTTTAAGAGAAAAGACGAAGAAATAAAAAAGGAGAAAGAAACACTTTGGCATAAAGGAAAAAAGTCCGAAAGTACAGAATTAATAGGAAGCTCAGAAAAAACTGAAAAGAAAGAAGAAGTGGTCAAGAGAGATCGAATAAGAAACAAGGATCGTCCAGTGACGCAGCTTTACCAACCAGCTCGAAGCCGAAATTGACTCTGTCCCCCTGATGACAGCACCAAGTCTGGTGATTCAGCAGTAGAAAGGAAGCAGGAAAGTGGTATTAGTTATAAAAAAGGAGGAGAGGAGTGATAAGTTACAGATGGCCTTAGGTGTCCTGACTGTCTAGGCAGCCAAAGAGCACACATTAATCAATCCAGAAGTGCCTTCAGGGCAAAGGAATAGAGAGAAAGAGGGTCGCTGTGCTGGTGGGGTACACTGCAGAGGAGTTAGTCTTGTGTCAAAGCAGGAATATGATCAGAGATTCAGAATTGTATGATCAGAGATTCAGAATTGGAAGTACAATTTCATTGCTTTTGCAAATTCTACAAATTCCTTTTTTTTTTTTTTTTTTGAGACAGAGTTTCGCTGTTGTTACACAGACTGGAGTGCAATGGCACAATCTCAGCTCACCGCAACCTCCACCTCCTGGGTTCAAGCAATTCCCCTGCCTCAGCCTCCCGAGTAGCTGGGACTACAGGCACGTGCCACCATGCCCAGATAATTTTTTGTATTTTTAGTATAGACGGGGTTTTACCATGTTGATCGAGACCACGATGGTCTCAATCTCTTGACCTCTTGATCCACCCGCCTAGGCCTCCCAAAGTGCTGGGATTACAGGCGTGAGCCGCCATGCCCGGCCTATAAATTACTTTTAAAGTGTCAGAAAAAGGTGATGGCGAGGACATGCATTGCAATTTGCAGGGGGGAATATCAAGTGAGGACTTCATCACGTGTGACAGGAGAGAAAAGTAAGAGCTGGTTCTAAATCAAAGCTGTTGTTCGTCCTGAACTGAATTTCCTTAATTTGGGTGGAGCAGAGTCGCTCTGAAGCCTTGTTCCAATCTAGTTCTGTTTCATTGTTGATGACTGTTGACTTCGTGTAGTGTAGAAGCAACAAGCATGTCCTTGTAGTACAAGTACAGGGAAGGATAGATCATACTTTTGTTGATGCAAAAAATTTAAATAGTTAATGTTAATTCTGTATCCAATGTCCTAAAGTTTTAGGATTAGTTTTAATTTTTTGTTTGCTTACATGAGCTTAGCATAAAGAATATTTTTAAACATCTCGTTTTGTCTTCAGCACCTTTTCTATTGAGGTAAAATGTAGTCCTTGTTTGATTCTTGACAGTTCAGTGTGTGTCTGATTTTAGGTCTCATGATCTGAGTGCATACCATCTCCAGGAAGGAAACTGCACCAATGTCTATTCGTGTTAAATAGCAACTTTTAGTCTCAGCTTTTGTTTTGATGTCAGTAAATAGTAACATTAAAAAACAAAAACAAAAACAAAACCCTAAGAACCAGAAGGGCCATCTGTATTATTTAATCACCATTAAATAATACCCTCCCTCTCCATACCTGCTTAACTGTCCCACAAGTCTCCTGTGTTTTATAAAGATGTGGGCTATTTTCTGAAATGCAGATGGGACTAGGATGAAGCCGTGTTATCAATTACAGCCAACTCTTATTTCTCTTAAAGCAAAAATTCATCCCACTGTGATTTCTCCAGGTATTTCCTGCAATTCTAAATCCACCCTCGATAACAGAGAATATTAAAATCACATTGTGGCTATTAAATCCTTTTTGTGAACTAAAAAAAGTAAATGTGGCTTAGGCTAAGCTGTTGTTTTTTAAGATGAGGATGGGGACTTCAACAAAGGCAATAATAAAGTACTAGATGAAAATGTGAAATATGTGAAGGATAATGCGAAGCATACACCCAGGACTAACAAATACCTATTACTTCTCTGGTTAAGAAGGTTTGGCAGGAGCCTCCAAAGAGCACTGTATGTGGAGAAAAGGGAACGGGAAGGACGAGGATGAACAAATCGGCACAGAATTTTTTTCTTCTTTTAAAAACCACAAAGGGTGACTTTTTTCTTCTAAGCAAGAAAGCCTAAGAGGCATTACATGGGTTGACTCCTAAGAACAAAACAAAATATTTCTTGGCCACAAAGCAACTTGACTATGTAGCAACACATTTACAAAACTACTGCAAAACACCCCCAGAGGGCAGTGAACTACTCTGCTCCCTAGAGGCTGCAAGAAGCAAGGCCTCAAGGACCTCACTGTTCCATGGGGCTGTGCAGCGCAATGCAGAAGGCGGAAATCCTGCTGTGCTGCCACCCTCCAGACCTTCTGCAGACTGAGAGGGGGTGATACTCCCACACCCTTTGATCCTTCCAGATGGCTCAGCCTAGACCTAGCAGTGAGAGCCCTCTCCATGCAGGGCAGATGAAGTGGTGGACACTTGTGAAAACAAAACACAGTCAATTCACTAACTGTTCCATCCTGTTATATTTGCTATGAGCAAAATTAAGATTCCTGTTTCATGGGCTGCACTGTTTCTGGAAGGCTACAGAAAATCTAACATGGTTGATACCTCCTGGCAGCCCTTATCTCACACAAACGAACCCACACACACCCTAGGGGAGAGAAAGAGAAAATCCTGGTCCATAAGATCACATGACCTTATTAGTGTTTCCCCAATGGCTGTCATTTATAAACTAAAAAAAAAAAAAAAATTTTTTTTTTTTGAGATGGGAGTTTTGCTCTCGTTACCCAGGCTGGAGTGCAATGGCGCGATCTCGGCTCACCGCAACCTCTGCCTCCTGGGTTCAAGCAATTCCCCTGCCTCAGCCTCCCGAGTAGCTGGGACTACAGGCGCGTGCCACCATGCCCAGCTAATTTGTGTATTTTTAGTTTCACCTTGTTGACCAGGATGGTCTCGATCTCTTGACCTCGTGATCCACCCGCCTCGGCCTCCCAAAGTGCTGGGATTATAGGCGTGAGCCACCGCGCCCGGCCACACTAAAAATTTTTTTAAATCCACTGCTATCTTTTTCTGTCCTGAGTTTGGTAGACTTTAATGGATGCTCTAGTAATAACCAGAATCTAGGACATGCAAATTCACTGTGAGCGATAGGCTAGGGATCTGCCCTAAACACAGGAACCTGTTTCTACCAAGCCTGAATGAGATCACTGGCAGAATTAATGACAAATCAATGCCAGTGAAATACTCTGCCAATAGGGTAGTTTTTGTGCTTTCTTTGCTTCTTTTATTTGGGGAGATAAAGGTATTGCAACCCTGGGTCTAACTAATCTATCATTAAAGGACTATGATGAGATGACATCAGTAAAGACAGCCATGGTGTTTATGGTGCCAGGGAGGAAAAACACCAATCCCGGATCACCAGAATCCCAGTGCAACAGAAAATAGCATCAGTTTCAACAATTCTGATGTTGGACAAAACCTCCTTTTGTCAGTTAAGAAAGCATCAGCACAATCTCTTCAGACACTTGCATTAATAGGAATCCATACATGTCGCTAAACAATACTTGTTGACACAGTTCACTTTCCTGACCCAACGACACCAACAACAATCAAAACTGCACTTTTAGGGTAGTATTTTGTTACACTAGCCCAGTCAAAACATACTCAGATCATTAAAAAAAAATGTAAAAGTTACTGTTAATACTGCAGTTCTGTTTTATTTTCTCATTTATTTATTGAGACAGAGTCTCGCTCTGTTGCCGCGGCTGGAGTGCGGTGGCATGATCTTGACTCACTGCAACCTTCATTTCCCAGGTTCAAACGATTCTCATGGCTCAGCCTCCCAAGTAGCTGGGATTACAGGTGTGCACCATCACATCCAGCTAATTTTTGTATTTCTACTAGAGATGGGGTTTCACCATGTTGGCCAGGCTGGTCTCCAACTCCTGGCCTCAAATGATCCACCTGCCTTGGCCTGTCAAAGTGCTAGGATTACAGGCGTGAGCCACTGTACCTGGCCCTGTAGTTACTTTTTAAAGAGTTCTGACTATTTTCCTGCAAAGTACTTTCAAATCCATACCATAAAGGAAGAATTTATCTGGAAGAATGTGTTTCTTGAATTTCACTTAGCATGTGGTTAAATCTACTTTATTTTCCCCTTTATTTATTTGAACAGAACTTTAGAATGCTGTAAGTGAGGACAAGAAATAGTGTGTTCATTTTTAAGAAGAATGTGTGAATAGCAAGTTGGCATTCAGACTCAAGCCCCACAGTGCTGTTCTTATCCAATGGGACCTTTCCCTGGGGATGTAATTCCCTTCCTAGAGGTATCATGGTATCCCAAGATTACAACTGCTCTTTGGCCCTGTGTTTCAAGACTGGGAGAGAGGATATAAACTAAGAGTAGAGAGCAAAATTTAAAGTTCACCAAATGATGTTCCCAAAAGTGCTGAACACAAAGTGACACAGGGCTACAAGATACATATATTTCTTTTAGTGGGATGGAAAAGTAAAAGCTTTTCTAAGTTTGAGTGCTTTATTGGAATTTTTAAATAAGGAGAACTACGATTTTAATTTCACATCTTGGCTAAGGAGCTGCCACTGGAGTACTGAGACGATCTCCTGTCCTAAGCCAGGGATCAATCAGTATAACCCTTTCTATCCCTCAATCTCAAGACCCACTTACTTCCCAACCAAACAACACAACTGGCAAATGAAGCCAGCATGAAACCTGTAAGAAAAACCAACAAGAGAGTCTGCAGTGAGCCAGTGTAGCCACTCTAATAAATGATTACGTGGCTTCCCATGTGGACCTTTCACATCCTGGTGGGAGATGGGAGACCAATTTAATAGCTCTGAGCATGCTCCATGATGCAATCACAAGTGCTGCACCATTACAAAGACAAGCAAGCACCTGAATTTGCCCCACATACTTTTCAGGAACACGGTTACCCAGTGTGGGGACAGGACTGCATCGATGCACCTGCAAAGTATAGTTTGATGCTTCGGAGCACAAGGATGATTATCCAGGTCAGCACAGTGTAAGGCATATATGGACAGGAAGAGAGGCCATTGGTGGCAATAAGTAGCATTACGGAAAAGATTCCAAACCAGCAGGACAGAAACAGTGCCTGATGCTCCAGTTTTTTAGGTAAGTAATCCCAAGAATCCAGTTCACCCTACTGTCAACATGTGGGGCAGCATTCAATTTCTATCATTGTTTTTCCAGATCTGGGTTGAGGCCATTTGATCATAGCTTGGTTTAAAAAACAAAACAAAACAAAAAAACTGGTTTCTTCTGGTTTCCTTCTTGGCATGGAAATACAGCGTAAAGAAGGAAAGGCCATGAGTCCTGGGAGCGCTATGAAGGTAGCTAAACTCTTCCCATACCTACATAACTACAGTCAATGGCTAGGAAACAGAGAGAGGACAGGGAAATCTCCCCAGCTACTAGCATCAAAAACAAAAAGCTGTATTAACTGTGAGGCTCTCAATTCCAGAAATGCCCAAATTAAAAGAGAAAAAAACCTTAAAAAATTAAACAGTTAAATTTCTCTTTCTAGAAGTCATTTATTTACATATTATATGTCCAATATATAATGTGTAGATAAATGTATCCTGCAATGAAAGTGACCACCGTACTGAACTGTACAGCACATTATCAGACAAATTCTTGAAAGGTTATCATCTCATACTGGTATCTTTTAATAAAAAAAAAAATTAAAAATCAAAGAAAAATGTCTGGCCAGGGCTAGGATAAGACAAACAGGAACACTTCAGAATCCAAGGCAGGGGAAGGCTGTTGGCCTCTCTTCAGAGGACTGCAGGGATGGGAGGAGGGAGGGACAGATCATGCACAAAAGTACTTACAAATTACACCCCCAACCCCCACCCCTCAATAAAAAGAGAAGAAAAAGCCCCATCACTTAACACCAAACAGCAACATTATCAATATACCCTTTCTCTGCTGCCCATCATGCCTATTTGAAAGAAGAGGCCTGAGAGGAGAAGTGGAAAGAGCCAGGGTGAGAGGGAAGATCTGCACTTCAGTCTAGTTTCCAATTTCCATTTCTCTTACAGGAAGTCTTCAGTCATCTGATGCCTGACATCGAGCTCTGAGCAGAAACTGAGTACGTGGTGGCCACGACTGGGGTGCCATTGTTGGCTGAGTAGCCTTGCCTCAATGTTTCAAAATATGACGCCTGCACGGGTTTGTGATACTGCAGCACTTTTATGGCGTCTTCTATTTTAAACCATTCCCTCTTCCTTCCTGTGGAGGCAGAGAGAAAAGAAACTAGTACAAGAGCAATAAGGTTTCTAAGTCTAGAACTTTAGAGAAAATGTAGAAGAAAACGTTAAAGCAATGCCTCTAAACACTTTTTTTCTTATAAAGGATACAAGCACACTTCATATGCTTCAAATGTGACATCAATGTCTAATGTAGAAAATAGTGAGAACCCTGAAAACTGAAGAGCTAAGACTAAGTATGTAAAACCTGTCCCCCAGAGGAAACTATGGCTAGTGTTTTCCTCCCACACTCCTGGGTCTCTGAGCTTTCCTTGCTTGCATATACATTAGGAGCCAAAGCCTAGCAACATCCCTATCTCCTGTAAAAACTGACATGAAGGCGGGATACAGTGGCTCATGCCTGTAATCCCAGCACTTAGGGAGGCTGAGCTGGGCGGCCTGCTTCAGCCCAGGAGTTTGAGACCAGCCTGAGCAACATGGTAAAACTCTGTCTCTACAAAAAATACAAAAATAAGCTGGGCGTGGTGGTACAATCGTGTAGTCCCAGCTACCTAGGAGGCTGAGTTGGGAGGAGCACCTGAGCCCAGGAGGTTGAGGCTGCAGTGAGCTGTGATCACGCCACTGCACTCCAGCATGGTGACAGAGTGAGACCCTGTCCCAAGGTGGGGGGAAATCAACACAATCATTAGCTTCCAGAATTACTAGGATTGCTGGTTTGTAATCCGTAACTTATTTAAAAGTTTTCTTATAAGAGTGATTTATTACATAACATAAAATATTTTTAAGTGAAAAAATCTCAATATAGTCTTATACTTTTCAGTCTATTTACTTACTCTTTTAAAATGCGTGTTTTTCAATCCTTTATATTTTTTCTCTTATAAAAGTAATAAGTACCCATAATCTTATAAACCAGAAAAGACCACTCTTAATACCCTAGCACAACTGCCCTTTTTTCATATACTTGAAAAACAAGCGATCTTGGGACAACTAAATTTGGATCATGGTTTCAGGTGCTCCAAATCCTGAGCAGCAGTGTTATGGTCAGGAACAAGGACTCTGAAGCCACACTGCTGGGCTCCAATCACATAAATGCCAGCTTAGTTAGCTGTGCTCCTGCTTCATTTTCCTCATCTATAAAACAGACAATAAATAGGGTCTATCTCACAAGTTTGTTATGAGGATTAATATGCAAAGCACCAGGGCCGGGCGCGGTGGCTCACGCCTGTGATCCCAGCACTTTGGGAGGCCAAGGCGGGTGGATCACGAGGTCAAGAGATTGAGACCATCCTGGTCAACATGGTGAAACCCCGTCTCTACTAAAAATGACAAAAAATTAGCTGGGTGTGGTCGCGCGTGCCTGTAATCCCAGCTACTCGGGAGGCTGAGGCAGGAGAATTGCCTGAACCCAGGAGGCGGAGGTTGTGGTGAGCCAAGATCGCGCCATTGCACTCCAGCCTGGGTAACAAGGGCGAAACTCTGTCTCAAAAAAAAAAAAAGAAAGAAAAAAAAAATGCAAAGCACCTGAAGAGTAACTGGCACAGAGTATGTGCTGCTAAGAGTTTGCTTTTTAATTTATTGTTACTGGTTCTTTTTTACTTCACATTATTATTATTTCCAGAGACAGGGTCTCACGGGCTGGATTGCAATGGTATGATCATAGTTCACTGCAAACTCAAGCTCTGAGACTTGAGGGATCTTCCTGAACCAGTCTCCCAAGTAGCTGGGACTACAGGCACATGCCACACCTTATTATTTTTTATTTTTTTTTGGTATAAATAGGGTCTCAAATTCCTGGCCTCAAGTGATCCTCCTGCCTTGGCCTCCCAAAATGCTTGGAATTACAGGCATGAGCCACCACGCCTGTCCTATTTCACACTATTTCTTAAGCAATCTATGTTATGAAAAAAAATGTGACATTGCTATTGCTAGTGGGGCTAAGGCAGGAGGTCTCCTTGAGCCCAGGAGGTTGAGGCTGCAGCGAGCTGTGATCATGCCACTGCACTCCAGTCTGGACAAGAGTGAGACTCTTTTTTTTTTTTAAAGACATGTGGCTGCGTTATGCCGTAATATCTAGGATGGATGTGCTATCGTTCATTTAACCATTTCCATATCACTGGATCTCAAATGTTTGTGATTTTTATTATTATTACTTTTGAGACAGAGTCTCATTCTGTCACCCAGGCTGGAATGCAGTGGTGTGATCCTGGCTCACTGGCGCCTCTGCCACCCAGGCTCAAGCGATTCTCGTGCCTCAGCCTGCTGAGTAGCTGAGATTACAGGTGCCATGCCTGGCTAATTTTTGTATTTTTAGTAGAGACAGGGTTTCCCCATGTTGGCCAGGCTGGTCTCAAACTCCTGACCTCAGGTGATCTACCTGCTTCGGCACTGTGAAGTGCTGGAATTGCAGGTTTGAGCCATTGCGTCTGACTGCATATAACTTTTACAACTATGCTGTTTAACAGCTGTATAACATTCCATCAGACGCATGTCATTATTTGCCATTCACTGAGCTATATTTTTAAAATTTTTTTTTTTTTTTTTTTTTTTTACTAATCAAGCACCCACAATGAGCTATACATTTAAGATGCAATTTTTAACCAGTAAGAATAATGGTAGTAAGATCATCTGAAGGAAGGCTCCACAGGCCTGTTTGGATATTAATATAGCAATGGTACCTAAAAAAATTAGTATCACAAGTGTGTGACTCCTGCCTGACAGAGAGTGCTCTGAGGATAGGGCCATACCACACATCCATTGTCTCCTTTTCAGGCACTAGCTCAGGTGTCAGGGAGTATGTTTTCAGTATACCCACACTGAATTTATTTCCTTGAGCACCCTGCATTATTACTAGACACAAAGCCAAAGGGCTACGAACTGCCCAGAGTAACAATATGAGGGGCATGGCAGCAGGGCAAACACTAACAATAAAGGGAGAATTTTAGCAAGTAAATCTTATCTGTCCAACGGAAATTAGTGTTCTTTCTAGAATATACTTTCCTTCAGAAGTAAACAAACTGTGAACCAACCTTTGTACCACCAGACTTTACAGTTCAAAAGATGTAAATGTAATAGCCGTATGAGATAAAAGAAAATGGCTCCTTTGGGAGAATGGGTGTACCTAAAGGGTGCATCCAGCACCCTTTTATAACATTTCATAAATTTTATAATTTTTTATATTCATATATGAAAAAATATAAAAATATATATTCATATTTTATATGAATAAAACTAGAAATAGAAACTACCTGCACTATTGTGCATCTACTAAATGATTTCTGGAGGTACTCAAACCAAAAAACCAACAGTTTTCTCAATATGAATGTTATGAGGAACAAGACCAAGGTCCTGCTCTCACCTATGGTCCCCATGGCCAGCAGTGAGCCTGGTATGGCAGAGGCTCTCAATCAATAGCTGGTCAAGAGGTGTAGAAGTATAGCCCTTTTGAGAAGGATCCAGTTTGATTTTAGAAGCAACATTTCTTATTTTTAGGAGTCATACTTCTATTTGTGGACCATGTACTCCAGACTCCATTTAAACATTTCAAAATGTTTGTTTATTAGAAACATCTTTCAATTATTTCTATTTTTTATCTGGCTCATTGTTTTTTTTTTTTTTTTTTTGAGACAAGATCTTTCTCTGTTGCCCAGGCTGGAGTGCAGTTGCATGATTATGGCTCAATGTGACCTCAACCTCTCAAACTCAAATGATCTTCCTGCCTCAGGCTCCTGAGAAGCTGGGACCACAGTGCCACCATGCCCAGCTAATTCTTCTGATTTTTGCAGAGATGAGGTCTTACTAGGTTGCCCAGACTGGTCTCAAACTACTGGGGTCAGGTAATCCTCCTGTGTTGGCCTCCTAAAGTACTGGGATTACAGGTGTGAGCCACTGAGCCTGGCAAGCCCTTGTTTCTGGTTCTGGTAATGACCTGCCACATGGCAAGAGCTGGCTGTGAGGAGCCCTTTCCAGGCTGTCTGGTGACGGCTTACCAATGTTCACTGAATCTTCCCAGTCTTCCAGCACTTCAGTGACAATGAGCACATAGACATACGTCCTGTGCTTTCTCTCCTGGTTCTGAAGGGCAAAGAAAGAAAAACAGAGAGTTTTTCCGTAGAGAGCTGGAATTGCTGAAATGAAACACACTCTTACACATATGTCCAGAGAACTTAGACACAAAGATTCTAAACTTTTACTTTTTATGGTACTACAGTTATAGCTACATGATTCAAAATAGGCCACACTTGAATTTGAGGGTGTACTCTGGCTGGACTTCTAAAACCAAGTATTTACATTGGTTTTTCCTCCCCTTCCCCTAAATAAAACTTCACAGGAATGCTGTGATCCCTCAAGAAAAAGGCATCATATAAATTTAATTAGCTAGAACACCAGGGAGAGAAGACTGTGGATGGGTGGACCACCACAAAGGTCTCAAACTTCAGTGACCCCATCAAGACAAACAAACTGAGTGTGACACACACACACACAACTCTTTGCCACTAACCCCATTCACCTCTTTTTTTTTTTTTTTTTGAGAGCGAGGCCTTACTCTGTCACCCAGGGTGGAGTGCAGTGTCATGATCATGGCTCACCATAGCCTTGACCTTCCTGACTCTAGGGGATCCTCTCAACTCAGCCTCCCAAGTAGCCGGTACAGGCACGCACCACCAAGCCCAGATTTTTTTTTTTTTTTGAGACAGAGTCTTGGTCTGTTACACAGGCTGGAGTACAGTGGCATGATCTTGGCTCACTGCAGCCTCTGCATCCTGGGCTCCAGCCATTCTCCTGCCTCCTGGGCTCTAGCCATTCTCCTGCCTCAGATTCCTGACTAGCTGGGACTATAGGCATGCACCACCATGCCCGGCTAAATTTTTATTTTTAGTGGCGACAAGCTTCTACCATGTTGGCCAGGCTGATCTCGAATTCCTGACCTCAAGTGATACACCCTTCTTAGCCTCCCAAAGTGCTGGTATTAGAGAAGTGAGCCACCACACACAGCTAATTTTTGTATTTTTTTGTAGAGACAGGATTTCACCATGTTGTCCAAACTGGTCTTTAACTCCTAGGCTCAAGTGATCCTCCCACTTTGACCCCCTAAAATGCTGGGGTTAGAGGCATAAATCACAGTGCCCAGCCACCTTTAAAAAAAAATTTATTTATTGCTGGGGGTGGTGGCTCATGGCTGTAATCCCAGCACTTTGGGAGGCCAATGTGGGTAATTACCTGAGGTCAGGAGTTCCAGAACAGCCTGGCCAACATGGTGAATGAAACCCCATCTCTACTAAAAATACAGAAATTAGCCAGATGTGGTAGTGGGTGCCTGTAATCCCAGCTGCTTGGGAGGCTGAGGCAGGAGAATCACTTGAACCTGGGAGGTGAGGTTGTGGTGAGCTGAGATCACGCCACTACACTCTAGCCTAGGCAACAGAGCAAGACTGTCTCAAAAAAAAAAAATTTACATATGTATTTTTTCCATCAGAGACCTTTCTTCTGATCTTTTTACTGTTTAAACTTTTTGTAGAGATAGGGTCTCATTCTTTTCCTTGTGGGGTCCCAGTGTGCAATGGCTGCAAACAGCAGCTTCCTTGGTAGTGTATGCAGCCTGTTTCTTGTATGGGTTGCTCTAAGGGACCTTGGAGACAGGCCTTTCAGATGTACGTTCATGTGTCTGACCTTGCACTGCCCCAATGTAGGCTCCAAACAGGCATGCGAGGTGCCTTTGGAAAGCCCAAGGTCACTATGGCCAGGGTTCACATTGGCCAAGTGATCATGTCCATATGCACCAAGCTGCAGAACAAGGAGCATGTGATTGAGGCCCTGTGCAGGGCCAAGTTCAAGTTCCCTAGACCTCAGAAGATCCACATCTCAAAGAAGTGGGGCTTCACCAAGTTCAATGCTGATGAATTTGAAGACATGGTAGCTGAGAAGCAGCTCATCCCAGATGGCTGTGGGGTTAAGTACATCCCCAATAGTGGCCCTCTGGACAAGTGGCGGGCCCTGCACTCATGAGGGCTTCCACTGTGTCGCCCCCCTCATAATATAAACCAATAAATTTACTTCCTGTCCAAAAAAAAGAGAGAGATAGGGTCTCATTGTGTTGCTCAGGTTGGTCTTGAACTCCTAGCCTCAAGTGATCTTCCTGCCTCAGCTTCCCAAAATGCTGGGATTACAGGTATGAGCCACGGCACCCAGCCTCAGCTGATCTTTATTTCTTACTTTTTTCCCTGCCTTCCTTCAAATTTTTATCACAGCTTATTTCCCTGTTTTTCCTTTGTTATAGTTACTTGTCTTCTGTTTTTCTTCTGTCTCTCTATTCTTAGCTACTCTTCCTCATACCTTCGGAGAAGAGGAAGAAAGGTAGGAATGGGGTAAAATAGGAATGGGGTAAAATAATACTTACAAATAATTCTAGTAGTTTAGAGGAGACTACGGGATTTCTTCCTTGCTTTCTTTCTTTTTTTTTTAAAGCATGTTATTCTCTGTAGGTACTGTTTTCTTTAAAAAACTCACCGAGGTTGGGCATGGTGGCTCACCCCTGTAATCCCAGCATTTTGGGAGGCTGTGGCAGGAGGATCTATTAAGCCCAAGAGTTAAGAGACTAGCTTGGGCAACACAGCAAGACCCTGTCTCTAAAAAACATTTGGGAGGCTGGAGCAGGAGATTACTTTGAGCCCAGGACTCCAAGGCTGTAGTAAGCTATGACTGTGCCATGATACTCCACTCCAGCCTGGGTGACAGAGTGAGACCTTGTATCAAAAAGTTAAAAATAACTAAAAAAAAAAAACCTCGCTGAAATAGAGATGGCATTTTTCCAATGTTGATATCTGTGTGGTCCCCTCCCCCCACAACAGAGTCTTGCTCTGTCACCCAGGCTGGAGTGCAGTGGCACAATCTTGGTTCACCGCAACCTCTGCCTCCTGGGTTCAAGTGATTCTCCTGCCTCAGCCTCCCCAGAAAACTGGGATTACAGGCATGCGTCACCACGCCCGGCTAATTTTTGTATTCTTAGTAGATATGGGGTTTCACCATATTGACCATGCTGGTCTCGAACTCTTGACCTCATGATCTGCCCACCTCAGCCTCCCAAAGTGCTGAGATTAGAGGCATGAGCCACTGCACCTGGCCTCTGTGTGGTTATTAATCCATATCATTTGTACCAAAGATTCTAACAGACTTACCTCAAAAATTCCAACTAATCTTCCCAATGTCCCTTTTACTCCAGCCTGAAAAGTGAAAAGAAAAATTAATGCACTTGAATTATATTGCTGGCCTCATTCTGAGTCTTCTTAAGCAGTTTATAAAAAAACAAGAGGACATAGCTTGGGCAGACTCCAGATCTGTGAAGTAATACCAGTGTTTTCTATGTGTCATAGACTGCTAACAGCAGTGTATGCTCTGGGAAGTTAGAATGCCTCTCATTTCTTCTGGTTTCTCTCTCTTCTGCAAAGCCAGCCAAACAGAGCAAGACAATCAAGGCCAAGAAGCCACCATACCAAAAATATTTTAAGGTATTATTACTTCAGGTCAGGCACAGTGGCTCAATGCCACTTTGGGAGGGTAAAGTGGGAGGCTCGCTTGAGGATAAGAATTCAAGATCAGACTGGGCAACATAGCAAGGCCCTGCCTCTAAAATTTTTTTTTTTTTTGGGATGGAGTTTCGCTGTTGTTACCCAGACTGGAGTGCAATGGCACAATTTCGGCTCACCGCAACCTCTGCCTTCTGGGTTCAGGCAATTCTCCTGCCTCAGCCTCCCGAGTAGCTGGGATTACAGGCATGCGCCACCACGCCCAGCTAATTTTTGTATTTTTAGTAGAGACAGGGTTTCACCATGTTGACCAGGATGGTCTCAATCTCTTGACCTCATGATCCACCCACCTTGGCCTCCCAAAGTGCTGGGATTATAGGCCCGAGCCACCGCGCCCAGCTTAAAATTTTTTTAAAAAATTAGCAGGCAGGGCACGGTGCCTGTAATCCCAGCTACTTGGGAGGCTGAGGCAGGAGAATTGCCTGAACCCAGGAGGCGGAGGTTACGGTGAGCCGAGATCGTGCCATTGCACTCCAGCCTGGGTAACAAGTGAAACTCCATCTCAAAAATAAATAAATAAAAATTAGCAAGTCAGCCAGATGCAATGGCTCATACCTGTAATCCCAGCACTTTGGGAGGCCAAGGCAGGTGGATCACATGAGGTCAGGAATTCAAGATCAGCCTGGCCAACATGGTGAAATCCCATCTCTACTAAAAATACAAAAATTAGCCAGGCGTGGTGGCAGGTGCCTGTAATCCCAGCTACTTGGGAGGCTGAGGCAGGAGAATCAAATCAGTTGAACCTGGGAGGTGGAGGTGGCAGTCAGCCAAGATTGCACCACCGCACTGCAGCCTGGGTGACAGAGCAAGGCTCTGTTTCAGAAAAAGGTACGCATGTATGTATGTATGTATGTATGTATGTATGCATGTATGTATAAATAAATAAATAAATAAATATATATATATATATATATATATATATATATATATTGCTGACAGATCCAAGATGGCCAATCAGGAGCAGCTCAGGATTGCAGCTCCCAGTGAAAGTGCAGGGTGAGTGGGTACCGCATTTCCAGACGGATTTTTATTGCCCACAGACCAGGAGATTCCCAGGCGGAGGAGCCTCAAGGGTCATCAGCATGGCTGTTTGGGCTGATGCAGCTGTTTTGCTGGTGCTGCAGCACAGTGGTTCTCCGTACAAAATACATGGGTCCAGGTGCTATTTTAGTTGGTAATTGGAGCTCCTGGGAGACAGAGTCACCCACTCAACTGATAAAAAAGGGGACTAAAACGGGGAGCCAGGCCAGATTTCCAGGCAAGAAAGTGCCACAAATCTCAGCACAGCTGTTTTAGCTGGCGCAGCGGGTCGCTGCACGGGAAATCACACAGATCCTGGCACATGTTCAACAGGCAACTGGAACAACTGGGAGACAGAGTTGACCATTCAACTTAAAAAAAAAAGAGGTCTCTGAGGCAGGGAGCCAGGTGATCAGGCTCGGCTGGTTCCACCCCCACAAAAAAACAGCAATCGGAAATGCTCTGGATTGAGAGTTTCACAGCAAGCACAGCTGAACCCTGGGTGGTCCAGCTCTGTGGGGGAGAGGCATCCGCCATTACCGAGGCAGTCCACCACTACAGAGGTAGTTTGCCATTGCTGAGGCAGCCTGCCATTGCTGAGGCAATTCTAACTATACCCATATATAAACAGGACTGCAGGGAAGTACACATGGCAGCTGGGCAGAGCCCACAGCAGCTCAGCAAAGCCTCTGCAGGCAGGCAATGACTAGGCTGCCTCCTTGCTGGGCAGGGCAGCCCTGAAAAAAGGTAGCAGCACAACAGAAACTCATAAGTAAAGCCCTAACTCCCCGGGACAGAGCACCTGGGGAAAAAAAAGGGGAGATTTATGAGTTCTGCTGCAGCAGACTTAAACGTACCTTCCCAGCAGCTCTGAATGAACAACAGAGCTCACAGCTCAGCACTTGAGCTCCTATAAAGGACAGACTGTCTCCTCAAGCAGCTCTCTGACCCCTGTATATCCAAAGAGTCACCTCATAAAGGAGAGCTCAGGCTAACATCTGGCGGGTATCCTTCCGGAACAAAGATAGCAGAAGAAGAAACAGGCAGCAACCCTTACTGTTCTGCAGCCACTGCAGGTGATCCCCAGGCAAGCAGGGCCTGGAGTGGACCTCAGCAGTCCTACAGCAGAGGGGCCTGAATATTAGAAGGAAAACTAAGAAACAGAAAGAAATAACTTCATCATCAACAAACTGGGCGTCCACTCAGAGACCCAATCTGAAAGTCAACAACTATGAAGATGACAGGTGGATAAATCCACAAAGATGGGAAGAAACCAGTGCAAAAAGGATGAAAACACCCAAAACCAGAACACCTCTCCTCCTACAAGGGATCAGAACTCCTCACCAGCAAGGGAACAAGGCTGGATGGAGAATGAGTGTGATGAATGGACAGAATCAGGCTTCAGAAGGTGAGTAATAAGAAATTTCTCTGAGCTAAAAGAACATGTTCTAACCTGATGCAAAAAAACTAAGAACCTTGAAAAAAGATCTGATGAAATGCTAATGAGAATAAACAACTTAGAGAGGAATATGAGTGAATTGATGGAGCTGAAAAACACAACAAGAGAACTTCACAAAGCATACACAAGTTTCAACAGCCGAACTGACCAAGCAGAAGAAAGGATATCAGAGGTCAAAATTCAACTCAATGAATTAAAACGAGAAGGCAAGATTAGAGAAAAAAGGGTAAAAAGGAATGAGCAAAGTCTCCAAGAAACATGGGACTATGTTGAAAAGACCTAATCTACGTTTGATAGGTGTACCTGAATGTGACGGAGAGAATGAATCCAAGCTGGAAAATACTCTTCAGGATATTATCCAGGAAAACTTCCCCAACCTAGCAAGGCAGGCCAATATTCAAGACCAGGTAATACAGAGACCACCACAAGATATTCCTCAAGAAGAGCAACCCCAAGGCACATAATCGTCAGATTCACCAGGGTTGAAATGAAGGAGAAAATGCTAAAGGCAGCCAGAGAGAAAGGTCGGGTTACCCACAAAGGGAAGCCAATCAGACTCACAGCAGATCTCTCGGCAGAAACCCTACAAGCCAGAAGAGAGTGAGGGCCGATATTCAACATCCTTAAAGAAAAGAACTTTCAACCCAGAATTTCATATCCAGCCAAACTAAGCTTTGTTAAGTGAAGGAAAAATAAAATCCTTTACAAACAAGCAAGTACTCCAAGATTTCATCACCATCAGGCCTGCTTTACAAGAGCTCCTGAAAGATGCACTGAACAAAGAAAGGAACAACCAGTACCAACCACTCCAAAAACATACCAAATGGTAAAAGGCATCGACACAACGAAGAAACTGCATCAACTAACAGGCAAAACAGCCAGCTAGCATCAAAATGGCAGGATCAAATTCACACATAACAATATTAACCCTAAATATAAATTGGCTAAATGCACCAATCAAAAGACACAGACTGGCAAACTGGATAAAAAGCAAAATCCATCGGTGTGCTGTATCCAGGAAACCCATCTCACATGCAAGGATACACAAAGTCTCAAAATAAAGGGATGGAGGAAGATTTACCAAGCAAATGGAGAGCAAAAAAAAAAAAGCAGGAGTTGTAATTCTCGTCTCTGATAAAATAGACTTTAAACCAACAAAGATCAAGAGAGACAAAGAAGGGCATTACATAATGGTAAAAGGATCAATGCAACAAGAAGAGCTAACGATCCTAAATATATACGCACCCAATACAGGAGCACCCAGATACATAAAGCAAGTTCTGAATGACTACAAAGAGACTTAGACTCCCACACAATAATAGTGGGAGACTTTAACACCCCGTTGTCAGTATCAGACAAATCAACGAGACAGAAAATTAACAAGGATAGCCAGGACTTGAACTCAGACCTGGACCAAGCAAACCTAATAGACATTTACAGAACTCTCCACCCCAAATCCACAGAATATACATTCTTCTCAGCACCACATCACACCTACTCTAAAATTGACCACACAATTGGAAGTAAATCACTCCTCAGCAAATGCAAAAGAACGGAAATTATAACAAACAGTCTCTCAGACCATAGTGCAATCAAGTTAGAACTCAGAATTCAGAAACTAACTCAGAACCACACAGCTTCATGGAAACTGAACAACTGGCTCTTGAATGTTGACTGGATAAACAATGAAATGAAGGCAGAAATAAAGATGTTCTTCGAAACCAGCAAGAACAAAGACACAACATACCAGAATCTCTGGGAAACATTTAAAGCAGCGTCTAGAGGAAAATATATAGTAATAAATGCCCACATGAGAAGCAAGGAAAGATCTAAAATCGACACCCTGTCATCAAAATTCAAAGAGCAAGAGGAGCAAGATAAAAAAAACTCAAAACCTAGCAGAAGACAAGAAATAACTAAGATCAGAGAACTGGAGAAGATAGAGACATAAAAAACCCTTCAAGAAAATCAATAAATCTAGGAGCCGGTTTTTCAAAAAGCTAACAAAATAGACAGACCACTAGCCAGATTAATAAAACAGAAAACAGAGAAGAATCAAATTGATGCAATAAAAAACAATAAAGGGGATATCACCACAGATTCCACAGAAATACAAACCATCATCAGAGATTATTACAAACAACTCTATTCACATAAA